TCAACCTGGAGAGCGATCCTGGGGTCTAGAAATTTATGGATTGGGTCGAAGGTAGGCCCAAATAAAATAATAAATATTATATTTGGCATGTAAGTGTATTGTGTGTGTATATATATATATATATATATAGTCATCTACAGACAGACTGTTTTATATAACATTGTATAGTGTGGCTAGACATCCAATTGGTCAAGCCGGAGTTATTTTCTGACTGCACGGGCATTATTCAAGAGATTTTTGTAGTTATTTATATAGGAATGCCTTTACAGAGAGGAAGGCGGATTTTTCATATTTAATTCGGAATAAACAGGATTTGGAACGATCGAGAGGGTTTCACCATTAGAAGAGCTTTGCTGGCTTCAAAAATATATTTCTGATAGATTTTTTTTTTCATCTAATCTTCAGACAAACTATCTCTATTAAATTAATTTTTGGGTTATTTTCAAAATAAAACGTAAAGACAATCTAGTGGCATTTTGTTTATACTAGCAGTAGAGCCCCGTTGCCGGGGATGTAACAGTAAGAGATAGATCAAGTATCGACCATCATAAAGACTGAAAAATAAAATTGACAAAGATTATTGTTTAAGGCACTCAAACAAAACATTGTTTTCAATCGTTATGAGTCTACCGATTGAATAGAATTTTATTATAAACAATTGTCTTGTAAATGGAATTTTAAAGCATTCTGAATGTAAAATAAAGAAAAAAAGTGTGCAAGACAATAAGAAACACTACCTGCCAAAAAAAAAGTTGAAGTTTTGTTGAAATCGGTTGAAAAATGTAGGAAATCCGATCCATATATATAAACACAACACACACACACACACAAACAACACAGGGTTTTTATAATAAGTATAACTCGATATGAGTTGTCCCCTTTCATTCTCCTTTCAGTGATGCCTCTTAATCGTGTTTTCAAATTGATTTCGTGCAAAAACAATTGTTTTTCCAATTTTTGGCGCTGTCAGAACCACCGCAAGGTAATTTTACGTAGTCCTGTGAAGTTTTGTTGAAATCGGTTGAAAAATGTAGGAAATCCGATCCAATATATAAACGAACAGACACACACACAACTGGGTTTTACACACATATTGCGTTTTATAATATATAATATAAATACCTGGGTTCTTATAATAAATATGAAATTTTTTTTGTTGTGTGTATTGCAACATTTGCATATAAAACTAGATTTGATAAAACAAACAGAAACCTTTGAAACAAAATTCCTTATTTTTGACAATGATAAAATAGTTTTGGTGAAATAATTTTAAAATTCTAGAATGATTTATTATGACCATACTTTCGAAATGTAATATTAATGAACCAGTGGTTTACATTATCGGAATTTTAAAAAGGATTGATTCGTTTTTATGGTTTTTAAAATTATGGTCTGCGTAAAGAAGAAAATGAAAATTTTAGTCTGAAAAGAATGATTTTACTTTTCTCTTCTTTATCTAGTTCGTTCATTAGTCTGTCCTATCAACAGGGGAAAAGATTTTCCTTATTTTTCATCTTATAAAATTTTTTGAATCAAGAATTCTCTAACATTTTTATGAATTAAGTTGTAATTTAATTTTTCCTCACAAAATTTTTCCTTGTCAATTATTGTTATTATGTTATTAATGTGTGAGAAACTTTTGATCAAGTACAGTTGCCTGAATTCCCCAAGTTAAATGTTCATCAATACTTTCAAAACCAGACCAAAAACATAGGAATTTAACTGCTAAAATTTACGATGAAATTTAGACTGTGTTTTTGAGTAGAGATTTCAGTATATTAAAACAATATTATATGGAAATAAAATGCAGTTTCAAATAAAAAAGAAGAAGACTTTGAAATTACCAATACACAAAATCTGCACACATATTTGAATTTGGGTTTAAAATAACCATTCTTATTCTTTTTCTTAGTGTCTTCTTTTGAGGACCACATAAGAAAAACATTGATTTAACTAGAAGTCTTAATGACTTCCAAAGAAAAAAATTATTAATCAGAAAAGAAATTAACAATATCATGAATATCTAACTATTTTGCGTTTAATTTAAAATTCTGCATTTTTCAAACCAATCAAAGAGTTATTTAATATTGTTATAGCTGATTAGAACAGTCAAGAATTTTCTTATTTAATTTTAATTTATCTGTAAATAAAATGAACTGAAATAATTTCAATCGTTTATCATCCTGCCAAATTATAGGTTTGTCCTAAATTGGAACCCGAAAAATATTTTGATAATTAGTCTTTAGTAAATTGGAACGAAGTTAAAACAAATGAAAAATATTAAACTTCATCTGTTAGTAGAAATGCAATCCATCAATTTTTAACAATCGTTCTACAATAAATTAATGATCGGTGATTTTTTTAAACAAAATGTATAAAAATTCTGGATTGAAAATTGCATACATTTAAATATTAATTTAAATAACAATTTATATTTTTATTATATTTTTATTATATGCAAAAGAAATTTGAAATGGAAAATATAAAATGAAAATACTATAAACCGCAAATTTTTTAATAAATTTATTTTATTTTGGGTCATTCGAATGACATGGGAAAGGTAGATAATATTTTTATTTTCACTTAAGGTTTTAGACTTTTGAATTTTCTTTAAACAATTCACCCTTGGCAATCAAATGAACTAGTCAAACAATTTGCAAGACAATTGTTAAAAAACACTTTCAAAGATATTTTAAACAAGAACGACGTAGGCAGTGGTTAGTCAGTTCAGAAATAGGAGATCTATTATAACACATGGGAAACATTTTAAATATCAACTTCTCAAAACTGGAACGGAATCTGAAATTAAAAAATCTTTAAAATTGACGATTAGAATTTAGAATTACATTGTCGACAGATTAATGTGTGTAAAATTTGGAAATTGGAAAAACAGAAATCCACAAAATTTTATTATCAGTAAATTATAAAATATAACAACAGCTCTTTTTAATAAAACAACAACAAGGTTGTCTTTGGAAAAAGAAAAACAAGGAAAGTTTAATTGAAAGTTCATTTATAAATATCTTTTTGCATACCTTGTCACATAAGGGTTTTAAAGGTTATGTTTGGAAAATTTAAACGCCATAAATTAGAAATAAAACCAACATGGATAAAATAGTTTTAAATCAAAATTTACAAAGGCTTTAATTTTCCATCGTGACATGAAATGGCGATCATTTATTAAAGGGCTAGAATATTGGTTTCCTTTATATGATAAAAGGCTATTATTTTGAAAACTAAGGATTTATGCCTTTTCTAGTAGTCTTGAAATATTGTAATCAGGACATGCATGAAGATGGTTGGTCATATCAGGAAATTGCTGCCACTAGAACTGAAATTTTTTATTGGGGGATAAAAGGATCTTAAAAAAAGGAAGAAAAAAAATTTCGAAAAAAAAATTGTAAAAATAATTTTAATTTTATTTTATATAAATATCTATGTGCATTTTTATTTATATATTTGAAAATATTTGTGCTATTCAAAGAATGATGAGTAGTGTAATGAGTATTGTTTTTAGGAGCATTAAAATTTAACCTCACTGGGTTGTAAATACCAACCAAATTTTGTAGTTTGGATAAATGGTGAACTCTCGTTTGTTTCCTTGAGCTGGAGTTACACCAATTAAAAAATAGAAACATTTACCTCATTAAAGTCTTTTTGTCAATGATACTTTCATTCAGAAAAATCTTGCTTTATCCTCAAAGTGTCACATTCCATTACTTTAACCTTTCTGGTGCAATTTCATTTAAAAAAGATAAATTGTTTAATAAATTATGCTATTATATCAAATTTTCTAGTTAATTGTAGCTTAACTGAATTGTGCAGAATTCAAGAATACATGAAGCACATGTACAAATTAAAGTACACTTTCCTTTCGAATTTGTGTGAAAATTCAAACTTTACGCCTTGTTAAATATCAATTTAAGAATTTAATTAATATTCTTTTAAGGTAATTTGGTTGTTCATTTGGCATAATTTTAAATGATGAATATTTTTAGTATATTGTTTTTTTATTACATTATAAAAATTATATCTAATACATGTTGGAATGATAGTTTTTTCCAAAATAAAGGATAAAATTTTTTTGAAAAGAAATTTTTGATAAACATTGATTAAAAGTTTTAAAGAAATTATTGAATATTAGAAGCCCTTTATCATAATTTATTTAACTCCAATTATTTTCATATTTAAAATTAAAGAGTTTCTGAAATTCTTATTTTTCAAATATCATTATAATGTTATTTTGAAAAAAAGTCTTGAATTTTCTTTGGTTGAATATTAGGGAATTTAAATTTTTTTCTTTGAACTATAATTTTCTAGACATGAGCCAAGATAATTAAGTATTGGAGAATTTTTGTGGCTCTTTTATAATTTTGAATTATATTTTTAAATCCATTTTTGTTCTTTTGGTTAATTTACCAATAATTTATCAAATATATGAGTTGGAACACATGCCTTTTGACAATCTGATGATCCAATAACATGTAGAAATTTTGTAACCTGTTGATTAAAAGAAATAACAGAATGTGAATCATAACTTACATTTCTAATGAATACGACTCACATTTGATATCTACTCAAGGAATTTTTATATATATTGATTAATATATATCCTCATTGGCCATATGTTGATGAAGATTTCTGTGAAGAGATATATGCATTGGGTTTCCTTTAATGTTAGAAATGGACACATCTAAATGCCATTTGTTCATCTTTTGGTTTAAAAAATAAACCTTACATTTAAAGTTTTTTCTTCGCTAATTGAATAACTCAAAATATTAATATTGATTTTTAGGATTAGCCTGAATGTCCTGCCAGGTGGAATTGTAGGAATTTTTTGTAAGATTAAAAAAAATGGAACAATTTATTTAGAAGTGATCACCAATAAAAAGAGAACAAATTGATTGATTTCCTTTAAACACGAAATTCTTCGAAAAAACTTTGACGAAGATAGTCTTTTTTAGTCTGTAATCTGGTTTAGCCTTTCTGAGCGTAAATCAATGACAACGTCTTATGATGGCGCAATCATTCACTTTAATTTGAATATGAGACATTATCTAGTATAATATATAATGAAATATATATTGGTATAGCATATCATGGAACCACTCGTATCCATTATCTATTGATATATATATTAACTCTTCACTTCTATCGGGTGTGAGTTATATTCAAATTGATAGGAGATATATTTCTATCTCGAAAAAACGGAAGAATTGTATAAAAAACGGTAGTTATGGAACTGATCTGCTTAGACTGGGATTTAAATAGTTTGAAACTGTAAAGATATGTAAAATTTTATAAAGTTTTTTCCTTTTTTTTCCAAAATCTGGATGTTGCTTACACACTTTGAAGAAAAATCAAAATTTTTAATTATGTTATATATCTAAAGCCACCTAGACCAGAAAAATAGCAAGTTGAGAAAAAGTTAGAAAACTTTTAAAAAGTCATGTAGATAATAAAAGGTATGCGTTGCAACAGATGTTCAAAAAATGTCATCGTCTTATGCTGGAATGTGTTTATTCCCATGAATGAAATCAACTCATCAAAAGGCTTCAACATTGTTTTTATTTCGGATTCATTTGTTTATTTATGCCGTATCTAAAGAAGTTTGAATTTATGTTAGACTTATCTCTTTATTTCATATGAAATTATCAATTTTAATTGACAATTAATTTAAATACATTTTGAACCAATTTATATATAAATATATTTATATATACTGATTTAAATATTGGATAATATAATAAAGAAAATGTTAGGAAGAATAATGAATAGCCATCCAGTAACGTCAAAAAAACGAAAATTACACCAAAAAGTCTAGGTCTTAAAAAAAACACTGAATGAATATGGAAATTCGGAGAATAACACGTTAAGAAAGGGATTGAAAACATTTAAGACAAAATATCCTTAGGAACACATATTAAAAAGGATTGAAACATCGGGGTCCAACCATTTTTTTAATTGTCTTTTTTTGTTATGACTTTTATAGTAAAAGAATGAGAATACCAACTTTTTCATATTCTAAAGAACTAAGGAATAAGTTTGAGTTAATTTTGACCGTCCATGGCTAGGGATGATAAAAAGAAATTTTTTAGTCCTTCTCCATGTTAGTGAGAACAAGTTGTTCATCTGTGGATGTTGCATGTATTGAAAATTAGTAAGATTCCCTCAGAAACTTAGAAACAAAAAGGAAAATAATTGGAAAAGATTCCATTAGTCGCGAATAATGGAAACAACGATTGGTGAAAAGGACAAGGAACAATTGTTTTAAAAAAAGGTTTTTATTTATAAATAAATGCCACCAGGTCATTTTCTATTAATTAATAAATAATCTATACAGGATTAAATATCATTTTTTAAGACAGTGCTGAGATATAAATATATAATATTATCAAAGAGTAATTGACTTTAAGAAAAAACAAAGAAATTATTTTGAAAAGAACTTTCACAATAGTAAATCCCCGTTTTGAATGTTTTAATCCAAACTTTGGTAAATAAAAATCAAACCCATGGGTGCTTCATATATATAATATAAAATTGAAAAGAATATAATATAAAAAATAAAAATATATATAAATTATTTGGATAAATTTCAAAAGGATTATGGAATTTATATATAAATATATATAATGAAAGATATGACATTTTAATAAATATCAATATTTCAAAATTTTTATTATTGATTTAATAAATAAAAGAAAATTAAAATTAAAAACAAATGAAAATACACATATGGAAAAAATAACACAGTTATATATCGAACAAATATATATATAAATACTAAATTACACATAGACGCCGAAATACAAAGATACGACAAAATTCACTTATATATTTATAAAGAAAAATTTAAAAGTATCAACGAACTTGTCAAAATAAATAAAAAACAAATATGTTATAAATATTATGACTAAGTGGTCCGGGTAAGATTAAAAAACAATCCAAAAAATTCCTCTGGATAAAATAGCCGAGAAAAAATCTGTTTAAAATAAAAATAAAAAATAAAAAACAAAATATACTGGGCGTTCGTTAAAAAATCAAAAATTATAACAGCCAATATATAGGTAAAATTTTCATATTCAAACAAAAATTCGTTTTCATACCTGATATCGTTATATGAATAAATTACAAAAAAGATATTATCAACGAAATATATTCAAAATATTAAAAAACTATTATAAAAAATAATATATAAATAAAATTTTGTCGGCATTAATCGACTCGTGGGATGAATTTTATAATTATAAACGGGGGGGTCGATTATATATCAGCGTAAAGATATTTATATCGGAAAGACGTTATCGATTAAAAAAATAAGTAACTAAATAAATAAATACCAAAATAAGAAAAAAAAATAAAATTTATAGGTTAAATATCTTATAACCGAATAGGAGAAGAACAATTATATAAAACTGCTGATATATATTAGATAACTCCATTATATACCAAATACTATATCTGATCAAATCCAAACATAATTATATATATCTACGAAAGTCAACCTGATGTATTTTTTCAAATCGTTTTCAGATACCGCTATAGTAACGCCGTTGAACAATGCTGGTGTCAGACGCCTTCAAATATCACTTGCACTAATAGTACTTGCTCGATAATAATCATTCGAACAGTAATCCGTATAGTGATCTGAATAGGAAAATAGTATTGTGAATAGAGTAGAGAATAGCGATCCGTATAGCAATAGAGGATAGACTAGAAATAGCGATCCGTATATTAATAAAGGATAGACTAGAAATAGCGACCGTTAGTCGTCAGCTACTTCCTACATATATGCGTTTCCTTTATGGTCACGTGGTCTACTTAATTCAATAATGGGATCGCTTGTGTTTGCTCACTGGCGAGTTATGTTCAAACTCAAGTGTCGGCAGCGACAGTTTTTATTCCAATATAACAAAAATATTCCCTAGCGTAGACATACAGTGGGCAATGATAAGTTTTTAGCCACCCTTACTTACAGCAATTTTTGGCTATTGTAATAATGTATCTTTTTTTTTATCAGTCAGTATTGTGTCAGTATGAAGCAACTTTAATCTATGAACGATAGTTGACATATATTTTTCAATGAAAGTTCAGAAGTAAGGAAATTGGTGAATTTCAAAGAGGACAAATAATAGGATGGCATCAGTGTGGCAAGTCAAATAGAGAAATTCTTGGTTAATCATCAAACAGTTAATAATATTGTCAATAAATTTAATGAAGAAAGCCATTGTAGTAGAACAACGTTCAGGAAGACCAAGCATTCTGTCTGAGTGAACTAAAAGGTCGCTGAAGATGGAAGTCATCAGAAACGGTTGTCAGAGCGTCAAAGATGTCGTCAACAGCATGGAAATGTTGCCAAATGCGGAGAGAAAGACGCTGAAAGAGCTAGGCTGTCAGTTGCAAAAAAGAAGCCCTTGATTTCAGAGGTTAACAGGAACAGGCGTATGGACTGGGCGAGAGAATTCGAGAGCAAAGATTATGAATTTTGGCAGTTTGTAATTCGGTCAGATGAAAGTAAATTCTGTCAATATCCGAATTCGAGCCAGATTTATGTTTGGAGAAATCAGAATGAGACTTTAAAAATTGAATGTCTGCAGGCAACCGTGGAGGGACAGAAGTAATGATGTCGGGGGCTGTCTGGTTTGGAGGGAAATCTGAGCTGATTCTTGTTGTTGAGTGGTTTAATGGTTCAATATACTGTCAAATATTAGAGAAAGGACTACTCCCACTATCTGAAATCAATCAGATTGACAAGAATGTCTACCTTTATCAAGAGCGCCATCTCGTACGGGTAAAGTAGCAAAGGAAGGAATCGCAAGGAATCAAGTCACTGCCATGGGTATATTAAAGTCCTGATATGAATCCAATAGAGCACGTAGGGGAGCACCTTCACCGAAAACTTCGAGAGCGTGCAAACCAAAATTACGTTAGTGGCAAACCCTTAAAGAAACATTGCTAAAGAAGTGGCAAAATATGGATCAGACGATTGTTGATAACTTGACCAAATCTATGAAAATCGAATACAAGCACTGAAACGAGCAAATGGAAGATCTACTCAATATACCAATTCCAAATACTGTTTATTTATGTTGAGTAAATTACGTAATTAAATTTTGAAACTAGATTTAGTTTATTTCTCCTGGCAACGAACTTTTCTTAGTCGACTGTTTGTTCTCTTTTTATGTTTAATCTATTTTTCCATTTTCTATTTTCTTAATATATTTCCACTTTCACTTTATCTGCTTACTTTGTTGGTTAATTTTTATTCCATATATTCACCTTCCTTAGCTTTTCTCTCTTTTCTCTCGCCCTGTTTTTCCTCTGTTTCATGCTTTAGTTTCTCTCTCTAAATTCCACTTCATATTTTCTTTTCTTCACAATCCCTATCCTCTTTTCCCAATTTCGTTTGAATCTCTTGATTTTGTTTTCCTTCCTTTTCTCTCCAGATCTTCACTTTTCTTTTCGATTTCTTTTCTATTGCTGCCTTTCCCCTCTCGCTCTGTCTTCTCTATTTCTTTATTTCCTTTCTCTCTCTCTCTTTATCATATCATTTTTTTTCTTTTCTCTCTCATTGCTTTCCCTCTCCCATAGCTTATTCTCTCTTCCCTCTCTCGCTGCTTTCTAATTGCCTCTCTCTTTATAGGTTACTTTGTATTTTTTGCCTCTCTCTTACTACTGTTTCCCTCTCTCATTGCTTTCTCACCATGTCTCTTTGTTCTTCTGATTACTCTCTCAACATCACTCTCATTGCATTCTCTTTCTCACTATCTATCTCTTTGTCTTTCTTTGTCTCTTTCTCACTGCTTTCTTAGGATCCCTCTCTTCAATTTTTCAATATCTCTCTTCTTCTTTTTCCCATTATTTTTTAAACTCTCTATATCCAACTAGGCTTTTTCTCACACTCTCAATTTTTGACTTTCTTTACAATCTCTTTCAAAAATATAACTATCAGTATCTCTCTTTCTCACTGCTTTTCTCTTTTATATTATGACACTCTCTCTCTCTCTCCCATTGCTTTCTCTTTATCTTTGCCTTCATTTCTCACTCTCCCTTTATCACTATATTCTCTTTCTCAGTCTATTCATTTGACTGCTCTATCCACAGAAAGTTATGAAAATAACATTCACTCTTTAAGTTTTTTCTTTTTTTTCTTTCCTTTCAATCTCTCTTTATTTTCATTCCTTTTTTCTCCAGATCTTTCCATTTCTTTCTATCCCCATCTTTCCTCTCTTCTCTCTTTTTCACTCTGTCTCTTCCCCTGCTCTCTTTTTCTCACTGATAGACTTTAATGAATTTTCTTTTCTGATGTATTAACCTCGGATTGCTTATATTTACGAGCACCGATTGTCGATTATATTCCACTTGATAACTTTTACATAAACTTGGCGAAAGCCCTTTACTGTTTATTTACACAGTTGCACAACAATACGCTCTTAAGTATTTATTTACTGACAACTAACCACTTTTCATCACTGCTGGTCGACATGTTTACTAGCGGATTTCACCTTAAAATGTCAAATCATCTTTATTATTAAAATTCTAATATTTTTCTTGAATTCGATACAAGCAATCGCTGTTTCAAATATTATTTACACTCAGTCTATTGTCCTCATATTTGTTGTTGTTATCACAACGTTTCGATTAATGTCCCCTCCGGCTTTCATCAGGTAATTGCCAATACAAGTAATCTTCAGGGTATATTATTCGTTCTGATGTCCATGTCTATCTCACCGATATCTTCTTTAGTACTGTTAAGTTCTTTCTAGTTCTGTTTCCACTGAATCTTCACTACCCAGCCCAGGGATTGAACCCATAATTACTAAACTACCAAATTTATAAAGCAACGTGTTTATCCTATTGTTATATAAAAGACATTATTCCGGAGAGATTACACTGAGCAGCAGCAACTTCTGTTTTTCGGAATTTGGTTTGATTGAAACAAATGAAATCATAAAGCGAGCACGTTTCACCGCATCATCCCCTGACCCACAGATTCACGACAGGTATCCCAGAAACAGTTGGAAACGATTGCCAATCTACGAACAGATTAATTTTACAATCTATGTACGCCGTACAACGAGTCTCTGGTGATAAAAACGTTTGACAAGGTCGCAAAGACATGAATGCGAAGCCGTCCTTTTCTTGTTCTCAATCTTGATTTATATATATAGACACATTAAGAATTAGTCAATTTATTTTTTTTTTATTTTCATTTTATTTTATTTATTTATTTATTTTTTGCCTACCAGGGGCTCATACGGCAAGAGGACTTTTTCTTTTTATGAGTGCACTGGGGAAAACTATATTAAATATATTTCATTTTTTTGCAATTATGCACGGTCACTTGGATATCAAGTCAGTTGTGACGGGTAGGTTACGCTCTTCAAACACACACACACACACAGCAGGGAAGACAACGATTCGATGTAATTTGATGTCAAAAAAAAAACACACTTGATGAAAAAAAGAAACGCTTTTTAGAAAAAATAAGAGTTAATCTTGTTATTTGAATTCCGATGTCTTCTATAAATATTTTACAAATTACGTATCTATCTTTTGTGTTCAGTTAATAATAAAAACAGTCTCTCCCTCTTTAAATTATATATATATATATATATATATATATATATATATATATAGAGTGATTGGGGGGTCAACTATTTTATGTATGATGGACTGTCATATTGTAAAAATTATAGTTAGACGGGAGAGGCCATCATACATAAAAGAGGGAGTTATATAATATACATATATAAAGAAATATAGTTTTAAGGTTTACTATATTCATGGGATAAAGTGCTCAATATAAGAGATAGAATCTTAAAATATAAATATAAAAGTGATCATTGAAGTCAACACTTTAGAGGCCACTTTGTTTCATTCTAGACGCAATCGTCATATATATATATATATATATATATGTGTGTGTATGTATATATATATATATATATATATATATATATATAATTGTTTATTTAGGCAGTAATCCTTCATTTATGCATGTTTCATTAAAAACGACAGACAAGGTACAGCGATTTTTCTTTTTTATTTAATTTTTTTTGTTTCGACAAAAGGTGTGTAGAAGCTGTTCAAATGTTCTATAATTCCAAGCTCTTTCGGCTATACTTTTAGCCATTATCAAGAATGTTTTACTCTTTTTCAATTTAATTAGTTGTGTGGGTTGTGTATATGTTTTTCGTGTTATAGAGATGTTTTATTTTTCCAACAGAGCACATTGCCCGTGTTCGTAGTTAATATTATCAAGTGTTAGGTTTTTCTTTTTCATTATTAAAGGCTTCCATTATTTTTAATCTTTTTTTTTTTACATATGGATGAGGTTATTATGTTTGTATTTTCTACCAGTATGTTTTCCGATGGAGTCTGGTAAGTTTGTCTGTGTGTTTATGTTTAAATTGGTTCTAATAGAGCCATGATCAGATATGTGTAATGTAAGGCGTCTGGATAGGCATGTAGTCGTGTGACCGATGTAATTATTTATGAATTCGATTTGATCAGGAACACATTTCCTTAGGGGCATTTGAACTCATAGATAATATTTGTTCGTTGTAATTTTGACTTTTCTAGTGTGTTGTTATTTTTGAAGGTGAGTTTGGCTATTTTAATTTTTTGTAGTAGATAATTTGATTTTTTAATTTGGATCAATTGGGGGTAATTTATTTATAATATTTATAAGTGAAGATTCATCTTCTTTGTAGTTAATGTGCATTTGTTTTTTTTGTTGAAAATATTTATGTAATTTTTTTACTGTATGTTCACCATCGTTGCTATTTACTTTGGGGAGAAATATTCTAATTTGTTGGTCTAAAAAATTTATCTTCTGAAAAACAACTTTGAATTAAGTTTTTATTAGTTTGTATAACTAATATAGTTCTAGAAGAAAGAAACATACAATTTTCAATGAGAAATTAAAGATTATAAAAAAGAAAATCAAGCTAAATCATTTTAACAAACTGATTTTATGAATAGAAGTTCATGACAATAAACAAGCAAAAAAATATCTACAGACATTTTTCATTAGCAAGAGAAAAGTTTTTAGAGTAGAGAAGTCATAAAGCACAAATCAAGTTAAGATTATTTGTTAATTAAAATAAAAAATAATAAGGAAACTCTACTATTTGACTGATTTTATTGAGTAACTGAAAAATTCAAAGCCTTTTCAAGCAAGTTCAGTTGTATTGATGAAGCCATTTGACATGATGAATGTTGAAATTGCCAAACATAAAGATATTTATAGATTATTGTATAGAGAGTAGACATTTCTATAAATCAGATATAATGAAACTACAGTACTGAAAAGAAGAGTTATCTATTCTTAAATTATATTGTCCCTAATTTATTTAATAATGATAAATCAAAAGTACATATAAAAATAATAAAGAAATGAACATGTTTATCAAAGTCATTTATTACATTCATCATAAACCTTTAATGATAAATTAGGAAGATAGCCTGAAAACGAAATTCAATGATGATCATAATTCAATTACATTTATATTTAGTTATATATATATATTGTTATATATATATATATATATATATCAAATATATTTTAAAAATATAATTGATAAATAATCAATAAAAAAAAGAGGTTCATATTAACAATTTTAAAATAGAGCAGTGATTTTTTTCTGTTTTCTTTACACGGCAAATAATAATTAAACTTGCAACTAAATTTTCAATCTGGGAGAATGATCATGACAAAGGAAATTGGTGATAATAAAATACAATGAACACAAAAAATGTGTGTCAAAAATGAGGCCTTTTAAATGCACTGATATGATAAAGAAATATCTACAAAGGATAACATGAAAAAAATTAATTTTTAATATAACCATTTTTAGTAATATTCAATTGTTCAATCTTGGCAAACATTGAATCCTCATCTTTGGAATAAAAAGTCCCAATGTTCTTGGACAAATTTCATTTTAAACTCTCCTTGTTATACAACTTATAGCTAAAACATTTTAATTTTGCAATAAAGAAACGACTCAAATAAAGTTAAAACATTTGGGTTTATTGCATTTAAAGAAAAACAGACTCATAAAGAAAAAAATTTTATATATTCCATTCTAAAGAAAACATTACACATTAGTCAAAACATTAGCAATATATTGCAATCTAAAGAAAGCCTTCACATCTGGATAAATTTTATATGCTATTTATAAACTTTCTGAAAATTTTCAAACCCTTTTAACAATTTTTTACCAACTAAAGAAACACATGATTGTTTTAAAGTTCTAAAACATTTTAAAAATTATGCAAAAAAGAAAGTGGACTTCAAAAAAAAAAGTTAAAACATTTTATATTCTTAAAAGGTGAAAATTTGAAAGCTGTTTCAAATTGGTTAAAATGTGATGAAAATATCTTATGTAAACTAAAAATATCTTGCTCACATAAAGTTAAAACATTTTTATATTAATCAAAGGGAAAAGAAATTAAATGCTGTAAAGTTAAAACATTTTATCCTATATTGTGGACTGCTTCCCATTGCACTCAAATACTATTTTAAAACATTTTATATTATGTAAAGTAATTGAAATAATGTGACTCAAAAAATGAGACATTAGCAGATAACAAAATATATGTTGATGGGAACTGGTAAGGTAATGAGGTTTCGCAGTCAGTGGTTTTTAGAAGCACTTTTTAGTAAAATGCAACAAAGTGAAAGTTTTGGGACCACAGAAGTAAAAAACGAGAAATTAGCAAAGAAGGAAAGATTATCTTGAGGTTAAGAGAAAATGAAGCAGAGCTTAATGTGATCAAGTGTCCAACATGAGGATAGTCGCAAAGACAGCAAGATATTTCTGAGTATCATCTTCTCTGGACTCTCTACCACAATATCGGTATGAAGGATATAGGAGGGGAAGTGTCTATTAAATAGTTCATGAAAAATTTTGATTTCTCACAATAATAAGATAGAAGATAACTTATAAGAAAAAAGTACATCATCGATGTAAATGAATGCACGTATAAATAATGGAGGTGTTGATTCCATAGAAATTTAAAGAGAATCCTTTTTAGGAAACACAGGCAATATAATCGTTTTTGAATCATACACACGCCGTTTACTTTAACAAGACAATGCTCTTCGAACTACTAGATCCAGCAAATTTATAAAATAGAAATAACTTTGAAAACATATTCTGGCCTTGTTAATGAAAATCATAATTTTAAAACATTCATATAATTTACAATCAATACTAAGTAATGTATACAAATTCTAAATCCTAAAATAATGTTTTTTAAATGTAAACTTTTTCTTTCCAAG